ACCTGATTTGCCATCCAGGACATGATGTTGCCTTTGGGTGCTGAGTGTGTTATGAGCCACTCCCGAAGTTCTGAATGGATGAGGGGTGCCCGGGAGGATGGCAGCAATGAGGAGGGGTGGGGCTGACACAGTTGGTGGCAAGAACAGCTCTGGAAGAAACAGCAGCGAGGGTTAGGAATAACGCAGACGCGGGAGAAAGCACAGGCCCCTGAGCTCGCTGAACTAAGGGCCTCCCGGGTCAACAGCGGCCCCTGCTGGACAGCTCTGCTCCCTCCATGTGCCGAGCCGAACTTCACCAACTGGTAACTTCCACGCACAGGTACAATCCAAACTTCTGGAGCCACACAAAAGTTAAACCTGTGCCTTTTTTCACGTATGAAACACATCTGAGATCCAAAGTAGGCTTCAGGCTCCCACCATCTGGCTGTGGGACCTTGAACAAGCCTTAAACTCTGGCCCTCAGAGCCACAAGATGACCCTGCTTACGTAACAGTCACGAGTCTGCCAAACATGGAGACTCATTGCCAGGAGAAAACCAACAGGTCCACTTCTGGGTATAACCCCAAAAGAAATGGAAGCCACTACTGGAACGAATGTTCACAGCAGCAATAGTCACCATGGCCGAGAGGTGCGAGCAATCCATGTGTCCTCTGGTGAATGGATAAACAAAACGTGAGACGTAGTGACAGTGGAATGTTATACAGCTTTAAAAAGGAAGGAAAGTTTTGTGTATGCTACAAGGATGGACCTGGAAAATGTTGCTTCCTCACCAGGCTTCTCCAAAAGAAGCAAATGGCCTCAGCACCCAGAGCCTTAAAAGCTCGGTCAGCTCCTTGGCCCTGATCTTTCCGGCATCCTCCCATGTCCAATCAGCACATCTGTGTAGCTCCACATCTTAGAAATGACAGCCTGAACCTGCCCCCTTCCCACCACCTCCACCACTACCACCCGAAACCAGGGGTCAGCGAAGTGCCAGCCCTGAGCCAACCCTGCCCATAACCAGTCGTGTCTGTCTCTGCAGAGTGGAGTGGCTGCCACAGTGACTGTGTGACCTGAAATGACAAAACTATTTACTATCTGGCTATCTGCAGAAAAGTCTGCTGACTCCTGGTCTAGGCACTAGATACCACCTGTGTGATATCGTCCTTTTGTATAATCTTCTAATTAAGACATCAAGTTGCTTTCCTTTTGTTCTTTGCCTTCTCAGAACTAGCTGCTTCTCTCGTTTTCTGTTCCCTGACCAGAACCCTCATTCTGTGCTTACCAAGTGGCTCTGTTCCCTCCTGCACACCAGCACTGAGGCTAAACTCCGGGAACCACCAAGTCCTTCCTGCTCAGGTACCTGCAATGGTCCCACGGTCCCCAGCATTTAACCTAAACTCCTGTTCAGTTTGCAGAATCCCCTATAATCCAGCCTGCCCTGCCCTTCACAGTCATAAAGGACCCACTGCTCCCAACAGGACAAGCTTCTCCAGAAAGTGCCACTCAGTCCACCAGGCAGCGCACTGGTCCCTGATGGGCCCTGCATCTTTTAACCCTTTCTCTGCCTTCTTACATCCACTGGCATTTGAGCATGCTAAAAACACTCTCAGACAGCAAAATCTTCCTGGATCCGAACTTTCTCTCCAGCTGCCACCTAGCTTGTTACTCTTTCGGTTACCAGGGAAAAAGTTTCCGAAAAAGAAACAAAAATGTGAAGAAACGGTTCACTGTTATCATCTTCATTTCCTTACGTGCCATTGACTCTTCTGCCCTGGCCATCTGGTTCCTACTGCTCCGCTAAAATTACCCCTGCGGATCACTGATATGTCCACTGAAGCCATTAAGCTGTGCCCACCCTGACCCCACTGGCTTCTCCGCAGCAGCATTTAACAGTGCACTGCTGTCTGAAAACACTCTTCCCTTGGTTTCCAGGATAACCATGCTCTCCTTTTGCCACTGACCATCCAGTCACTCCCTCTCGGTTCTCTCCTGCACCTTGGTTTCCGCACCCCCCAGTGAGCAGCCTGAGGAAGGACCGCATCACCTGGGCTCAGGCAGACACTCTTACATCCAGCAGGCCCTCCACCAACGTCAGCTAAAATCAGCTCTTATTTCCTGTCTCCAGCTTGACAATTTCCCTTTTATTCTTCCACATTGTTTCCATTTCCTCTGTAGAATTCTCTGCCTTATGGTAATTCTTTGACTGTAGGATTAAATATCATTTAAAATGCATGTCTGGTCAATCTCCCATCTGGATCTCCTGGAAGTCTGTTTCCGTTTCTCACTTTTCCCCCAGTTTTCTTGCATACCTGGTTATTTCTGGGTAAGTGCTGAGTATTCCTATGTGAAAAATCAGAGAAAGAACTGGAGGCTGTGGATGATGGCACCTTCTTCCAGAGAGAATTTACTTTTCTGACAGGCCAGGAGACGTTGGCAATCCCACATCTACTTTACTCAATCAACATCGCAATTATTTAAGCAGGGATGCTAGTGAGAGCTGGTGTGATTGTGATCACCCCATACTCCCCAGGATTGGCCAGGGTCCTTTCAGCTTGACGGGTCCTGCCTTCAATGTTTGTCTCCTCCCTGGTGAATCTGGTGAGAGCTCGATTCAGATGCTCAGCTACACTTCTGTCCAAACCAGCTAGTATTCCACTGCCAGAAAACACTTGCTGACCTGTCATTAACACCAGCTAGCCTAAGGCCTGGCTACCCACACTGCTCCTGGACTGGAAAGGCAATATTCTGGGAATCAGGGACCCACGAGTCCCGGTCTGCTTGTTGGCAACTAGTCCTGTGACTCTTGGCTTCATCTCCTAAGTTTCCCACATCCTTATGTGTAAAATGCCATTTGGAAAGAAATCTTTTTTGAGTTTCTTCTTTTTCTAAAAGTTTCACATTTGCTAACATTCCTGCCAGCTCTTACATTAGACAATCCCAGATTATATATTCTTCCCCCGCATACATCGACACCAAGCCCAGTGACTCATTACAACTTTGCATTTTCCTAAGAACATTATAATAAATGGACTTAAACTACAATCGCATGAATTCAGATTTGCAAAGCCATCTGAATAATGGAGCTTTCCCATTCTCTATTATTTGTTGCCCTGGTGACTAAACCACACAAAGCCAACCAGGACTCACCTCAATGAAGACAGGAAGCACTGCAGGGCATCTCCGTGCCAAACGGCAGGCAATAAAGCAACATGAAGGAAAACAGGCCTGAGTCACGGAAGTTGAAAATGTTCCTTTTAAAAAGAAGGATGCTGCCTGAATGTCCAGCAACAGATCAAAGCAGGGGGGAGTCAAAGCAGCTTCAGCCTCTGGCTGCCCAGAAGCTAAAATTCTATGCCTTCTTCAGCAGACGCCAGCACCAGAAGACGTCCAGAAGACACACAACGTTCTGCTTATTTCACGATAAACAAAGCAAATAGTGGTTGAAACTGAACTTAGTGACAGGCTGAAACAAAGTCCTACTTTCATAAGCACAGAGAAGACCTAGTGCAGTCACTTCATGCCCCAGTCAATCTCCTGTGCACGCACTCACCACCTCCAGCCTCAGTTCCTTGCTGCCCACCCACGACCCCCACCCCGGTGACACCACTGCTCTGACCACAGAGGCCCTGACCTTTACCTCGTCTATAGCTCTTGAAACTTGGATATTGGTGTCCCTGGTATAGTATTTACCCTTACCTGCAGTATCTGCATCCAGCAGAAAGCAAAAGAATCTATTCCAAAAACCGTGTTGCAGCTCACACTCCAGGAGATCTGAACCTGCTGCAGCTCACACCCCAGGAGGAATCCTGACCTTGCTGCAGCTCACACCCCAGGAGGAGTCCTGACCCTGCTGCAGCTCACACCCCAGGAGGAGGCCTGACCTTGCTGCAGACACATCCCAGGAAGAGTCCTGACCTGGCTACAGATCACACCCCAGAAGTCCTGACTGTGCTACAGCTCACACCCCAGAAAGAGTCCTGACCCTGCTGCAGCTCACACCCCAGGAGGAGTCCTGACCCTGCTGCAGCTCACACCCCAGGAGGAGTCCTGACCTTGCTACAGTTCACACCCCAGGAGGAGTCCTGACCCTGCTGCAGCTCACACCCCAGGAGGAGGCCTGACCTTGCTGCAGACACACCCCAGGAAGAGTCCTGACCCGGCTACAGCTCACACCCCAGGAGGAATCCTGACCCTGCTGCAGCTCACACCCCAGGAGGAGTCCTGACCCGGCTGCAGCTCACACCCCAGGAGGAATCCTGACCCTGCTGCAGCTCACACCCCAGGAGGAGTCCTCACCCTGCTGCAGCTCACACCCCAGGAGGAGTTCTGACCCTGCTGCAGCTCACACCCCAGGAGGAGTCCTCACCCTGCTGCAGCTCACACCCCAGGAGGAGTTCTGACCCAGCTGCAGCTCACACCCCAGGAGGCGGCCTGACCCTGCTGCAGCTCACACCCCACGAATTCTGACTAGGCTTCTTGATGTTCTAGATGCACATGTGTTATATAAGCAGCTTAACTCTATGTCGGGTCTTATTTTTTCTAAGAGAACCTGTGTGTAGCAGAAAAGGCACCAACTAAAGAGCTGTTCACAAGTCCCAACTCTGCCCCTGTCTGACTACATCATTCAGACATTCAAAATGCACTGAGGGTCTATCATGGCCAGACATCTTGGTGGGCACTAATGACATAAGGTGCCTAAGGCACAGGAGGGGCCTGTTGGTACAGAGGTAAAATCCAAAGGGCATCTCTGTGCTAAGCGCCGGTACTCTACCAAGCAGGTCATCTCTAAGTTTCCGCATCTCTGTGCAACCGATGGTACTCTACCAAGTAGGTCATCTCTACGTTCCTCTGGACTTTAAAGTGTGAACAGTTTCATGGTGTGATACAGCTGAGGTCGGGCTACACACGTGATGTGGCCCTGGCCTGTACTTACCTGTGTAGATGTGGAGCAGCAGCCTCCCTGGTGGCTTCTGTATCTATAAAGCATACAAGTTAGATTTGGGCATATGTCCCGTTACCTTGTGCAGCCACAGAGGGAGATTTCCAGAATCGCTCTGCAGTGAGTCCTTCTGCTGAACAGCTGCCCAGCAGTAAGAATCCACGAAGGCAGCCTGGCGCCAGGAGAAAGAACTTGGGGAGAAGCAGCTTATTTGTGTACCTGAAAAGCAAACAGATGTTCTAGATGACTGAAATGCAGCTGCCTGCTTCACCCCTGCCCCTCTCTACAGTGTCAAGTTAAGAACCAGGACCAGACACAGGGATAAATAATAGTGAGGGGAGGACGAAAACACACCCAAGTGCACATTCAAACTGAGTGCTGGAGTGTTTTTGTTTTTTGCCAACACTGGTCATGACAGGAGCTTGGGTGCAATGGGAAAAATCTCTTGGGAGAACTGAAACCACCATATAAAGAAAAAAGGAGCAAAAAAAAAAAAAACCCTAGGCCCCCAAATGCATTAAGGGAAATGTGGACTGAGCAAGTTTAGTTCAGGGTAAGCATGGAGAGAAAGGGGGTTTGCATGCAGGGAGGGCAATGAGGAGAAGTCTCAGGGAGAAAATGGCCAGGAAAAGGGTCCTTTAAAATGAAAAGACAAGGACTTGCAGCCTGAGGAAGAGAAGGCTGAAGGGGCACCTGTGAGAGATCACTGCGTGGGGAATTTACAGTTCTCTATCTCCTCTAAGAAACAGAGACGCGAGCCCAAACTGCAGCCCAAGCAGTTGGCATTCAGACGGCGAATGCAAGAGCAAACCCGTCCGCAGGAGACGGGCACTCCACCAGGGAGGGGCCGGGTCCTTCTCAGTGCTCTGCCATCAATTTGCTTTTCTGGAAGGGACTCTGGGACTTGGTTTTGTCCTCTGCAAACTGAACACTGGGTCACCCTGCAGACGCTATCTGTGAAGACTCTCCATGGTCCTGACTGATGTGACAGGAAACTGTCAACAGGACTGTGGGGCTCAGGGAAGAAGCTGTGTCCCCCCCCCCCCCAACCAACAGACAGGGGCCAGGCCTGCTCCCATCCCCGTCAGGCACACACAGGGTGTGTGTGTGAGTGTGTATGTGTGTGTGCACGCGCAGGGCAGGCACACTCTCCCACATCCTGCAGAGTGGGAGAGGCCTGGACAGACTTGTATTTAAACTTGACACTGCCACTCACAGCTGGGTGACGTAACCTTCCAAACAAAGCCTGGGACCTCCAAAACGGGAATGATATTAATAGTGTATCCATATTAGAGTATTCTGCAGTGACTAAAAAGGCAAAAGGCAGCTGCTACAGCACTTACTAGGGTGCCAGTTCCCAGTTGTCAGCTGGGCATTAAGTGTCCTATTTCTCTAGAAGAACTAGTGAGCAGATTCTGGCCTCACTGTAAAGATGGGGGCATGCTCGTCTACCTCCCTTCCCCACCACAGAGAGCAAGGGGAATAGGGGGACTTGAGGAAGATGAGGTGCTCAGAGCCTTGCCACACCCCCACAGTCACCCACCATGAGAATCAGTCTCTCTTAGCACTCCTCTCTGGGCACATGACTTCCCTGTCCTGCCGCAGGTGTAAGGCCACTCCTCCCCAGAGGAAGCTGACCATTTGAGGCCTTTTATGTGCCAGGGTCCAGGGAAGTCCAGCACCCCATCTTCCTCAACAGGTGCCTTAATACCACAGACATCAAGGAAGGACTTTTCAGCAAGCACCCTGGAAGGGGTTCATGGTGAAAAGTCACAAACATCAGAAAACGTTGTGTAACAGGAGCAGGAATGGCTTAAATATGAGGGGATGGGTAAGATAATCTCCCATTAAATTTGAGTTCTTACATTTTATAAGAAAAATAAAGTAGCCAGGATGGCATAATACTCAGGACTAAGCTCCCACTGCCCCTGCATCAGTGTGACTGCTGGACACCTCCTGTGCCTCCCACCCACAGAGGCCTCTGAGTACAACAGCAGACACACAGGGGACAGGCAGTCCTGGGGTTATACAGTGGTATTTCTGGTAAGGTGAGTCACTTGCTTGGGAACATCTGTTCAAATACTAATGAAAATGAGAAACATTGTTATCCTTTCATGAAAGCATGCCTGTCCCGAAGTGTTCCTTAGGTAAAGTCCTTACAATGCCTACCCAGTATTCATCAACATTCTCTCTATAGGAAACGGTCCTTCAAGTTCTGTGTCAGGATCTCAAGGACCTCGCCCCGGCAGTGGTAGGGGAAAAAGGAAAATGAGAGAGGGGGAGACAGAAAGACATTCAGGACATATTGAACGTAAGGAAATGTTCTTCAAGAAGGAGCTTGGAAGAAAACACAGTGTGTGATTAGTATTCACTGGACACCAACCAGCCCCTTAAATCACTACCTTATTTTAACCTCACAACCAAATGGACATAGAGGGGGAGAGATCTTATCTACCCTTTACCCGGGGAGAAGCCAAAGCTCACAGTTCTTTCTGTAGTCCCCAACCCGAGCTAGTAAATGGTGGCAGCATGATTTAAACCTATACCCAACTCCCAGTCTCTCTTAGCACTCCTCTCTGGGTCGGTCACTCTGCAAGGCCACACGAGGAGGTCCTGGGGACCAGGGCTTTGTCAGAATGGGGAATCTGAGTAGGTGGCTGGGAAGAAAAAAAGCTGCCTGAAAGAGTCAAGGACAAATCTGGGAAAAGAAATAGACCAAGCTCCAGGTACTATGTATTCCGAGGCCAGAAACAGGAAACGAAGTTGGGGAGGTCCCGACAGGCAGGGAGGGAAGAGCAGGAGAGAAGACAGGGGCAAAGCAGGGGGTGCAGGCTGGGTGGGTAGGGGTGCTTGGCACAGTGGGGGACTGAGTCACAAGCCTCCTCTATCCAATCTGTGCCAGCCAAGCTTGATTCAAAAGCACCAGGTCAGGCTGGCCAGCTGCTGCTGTGGGGTGGGGAAGCTTGGGACCTGGACTGTCTGTCTCATTTACTCTTGAAAATAATATGAGAGGTAAAGAGATTCGGTCTTCAGGTATTTTCCTAGTAGTCTCCCAATCAAGAGGGCTTCCAGTTCTTCCAGTTCCAGTTCAAGAGAGCTTCTCCTCCTCCACCAGTTTAAGCCACTGCCAGATTATTCATCCTTAAGCTCCGTTCTGATCCTGACACTCCCTTGGTTCAATAATTCTCATTGGTCCCCCCTGCCCAGGGCACAAATCTGCACGGGTGCTCTAATACGAGTCAGCAGTGCCCCAGGCCCTCACGTGCTTACAGGCCTGAGTCTCTGTACCACTCCTCTGCCCCAGGACCCTGCCTCCAACACCTGTGAGCCAGAGCCCCTCCACACCTTTCCCTTAAGGCCTTCCAAACATGACCCCAACGACATCATCTTCTCTGCCAAGATTCCTCCCCATGGACCTCCCACAGCACTTTAAAGCCATCAGAGATGCTGTAGACAATTCCCTTTAATGATGTGGCATGAACACCCACGCGTGCCTTGTGTCCTCCAGGGCAGAACACACCTGTCTCTCTGAACTTCATGCACTACTCTGTACCAAGGAAATAATACCTTCCTGGAAGTTTTAAAGCACTATTACATTTCCATTAATGATCATGTATCCCCATAAGATATCACTGCACAATTCAACAGTTGAGAAAACAGCCCAGGGAGACCCTCCAGCCAGAGTCCACAATGTGCCCTGTGTGCAGCTTAAGGAGCACAGGATGATTTCCAGGAAATGGCTGTGGTGAGACACCCACTGCCCTTTACAACTGCACCAAAAGCAAGAAATGAGCGTCAGGCTTACCCCAGAAGCAACAGAGTATACTACTTCCCGCTGGGAATACAGAGCAGCTGTGTCTGCCAAATAAAATGGAAGATCACTAGGAGGAGACATGTGCTCACAGGGTCCCGTGGACATAGCCATAATGCCCACTAAACACGCGATCTGTGCCACAGACAGTCCACACTCCTGACACTCTGACCTAGAGCCCAGGGTGCAGGTCATCTCTCTCTGGGCAGCAGCCCAGGTGGCCCTCAGTGCAGCCTAGATCTGTACCCCTAGCTCCCAGACTGGGGTGAACAAGCTTGCCAGCCAGAGCAGGCCGACGCTTCCATTCTGCCCCACCGTGGGAGGAGGGCTTTGGCTTACTTTTGCTAACTGTCTGTCTCTTGTTCTCATGTTTTGTTTTTTTTCCCACTCTTCTCTCTTTTAATAGACTTTCATTCCTTGTTACCGAAAGAGCTGCAGGCTATGAGCAGCCCCTGGTGCCTTCAGACAAACACAGGCATTCCGCCTCCCAGGACGCTGTGTGGGAATGACTTTTCTGCCCTGCTTCCACATTCAAGTGCTGTGGGCAACATAGGAATCAGGCCTCCTTAGGAGTTAATGCAACTCGTCAAAACCACAAGTTTAACAAACACAGGAACAGAAAAATCTAGTCAACTAGCAGGAGGACTCCAGAGGAACTCCTCAAAGGAAGAGATTCTAAGCTGGAGTCACTCACTGGCACACTGAAGAGACCGGAGAGGTGGCAGAGGCAGGAGGGAGCTGACACCTGCTGAGGACTGTCACCCCAGCTTGAAGATGAGGGAAGCCAGGCGGTGAGACCTTGGGGCTAGTGGGCTGGAGAGCCAGGCGATCAACTCTGGTCTCCGAGATCTGTACCCTTCAAACATAAGTGAAAGGAGGCCAAAGACACAGGTTTATTGCAAAACAGTGGGTCAGAGACAATAGGAAGAGAAGGAAGGACACAGGGGCGTTTCTTGAGGGGAATCGTAAATCCTGGGGATGCTGTTCTGGGAGGAACAGAGGGTAGACAGAGTGTAATAATGACTGTATCGATGACGATCATTAGTATCTACATACCATTTTAAAAGTTTGCAAAATGTTTCCATTTGGAAAACAAAATCAGTTCCAATTCACTTTTCTGTAAATTAACACACACACACGCACCCCTCACACACAGGGGATCCAGGCAGGTCGTAACACACCTTATAATACACTGAACCGGAAAGTCCTCACTGTATTTTAAGGTTGCAAAAAATTTTGAAAACTACTGAAAACTCTCAAGTTCACTGACAGTAATCACACCAACAGGTCCCTACCTATGAGGAGCAGAGAGGAAGAGATGGGTAGTGACCAGCTCTGAAAATAAGCGCTCTGAAGGACCAAGCGGGTCTGAACTGAGTACCCTTAACCCCGACATAATAAAACCAAA